AGGGGAAAAGGAGGAAAAGGCAAGAAACAAAAGCAGAATTTACAGGAGGAGTTTACAATAAGGTTTTAAATTCAGTGCTAATGTCAATACAAAACAAACCCCCAGCTGGACTAAAACACCTGGGTCTGCCTGTCATTTCCCTTACAGTCCTCAGAATCACATTAAGCCAGTTGCCAGTAACAGGCAAGGTTTTTTTTCCCAGTTATTCTTCATTTTAAATGGTTTAAGCAGCTCTGGAAGTATTCATGAATTCAGGTTTCCTCACTCCCCTCATCATGTTGCCAGCTTAAAATTCACATTTAATTAACCTCTTCACCGAAGGCATAAATCAATACTAAACCTCTAAATGTTAACCATACCGATAGTGATTTTCATTTGGGCTAGCCTGCTGAATAATAGGAATTAAGATGCCTGCAGGAAAGGAACAAACTAGTTGTATGGAGTGAAGCATAACTAACTTGTAAACTGTAATAATGAATGTCCTTGGATGGGATGGGAAATCCATTCATTAAGGTTCCAGGGAAGAAAGTGAGAACCAGCCTAAGCAAAGCATGATACTGCATTCTGGACAAAATCCTCCTGAGCAGTCGGACTCCTGTTCCAGTACAGATTGTCCATGTGTGCTCTAGAAGTCCTTAGAGTCCCAGAAATACTCTTGAAGTAGCAACAGCAGAACAAAAGTAGTCAGAATTACGTGAATTTTCACATGTGCAAAGCCTTGCTATGAAAATCCTGTATATTAGTGTGATTTCCTTCTTTTTATTACTGTTACCAAGTAATGCTATAATGTATTTTTAGTATGGCAACTCCGGGGAGCCTGGATGTGCACATCTTTGTAGCCTTGTATTGAAAGAGGTGTGGGAGACGCTTGATGTGAATGGGTAGTATGCACAAAGAGAAAATGTCTTTACTCTTCTGAGGGTTGGGTAGAAGTAGTACTCATTGATTATTATACAAGTACTGTGGCACCCAGCATAAAAATGGTTGTATTGTGCTGTTACAAAGTCTAAACCACCTATTTATTTCTCATTTGGTTAGTGTATTTTGCAAGGGCTTCATTCCTATTTGGAGCTAATGATAGAATGAACAGAAAAAGGGGGCTCCTATGTTTCTGTGCTTCAAGAAGAATTTCTACATAGTTCTGAAATTCCATTTTTTTCCCGTAAATAAGGATTTGATGCCAAATAAAGAGATTTCTTGTCAGAGTAATTTTGCTAAAGACAAACAAACAAAGAAATCTTAAAGCAGTAAGCTTAAAACTCTCCTTCATTTCTTGCTAAAGTGTCACTATCCCCTGAAATAATAATGACTGATAATTGAATAAATAATTAATAATCATCTGAGATTTAATGAGATGATGAGGCAGTAGAATGAGGTTGTTTAGTGAGATGGGAGAGCTTTCATCACTACCTGCTGCAGTCGGTATTCTTTTTGCATAAAGAATTCAGTCTGTGTGTGCTAGAAATGTAAAAGCTGTTTTCTGTGGTGGTGAATCAAGTGTATTTTGCAAATGAGCTGTCAGCTAAGCAGTCTCCAGGCACTTAGGCTATGTTTCAGTTATATCCCTACCTATAAATGTGTGAGGTGAGTATTGCCTTTATTTGCAGTATATACTTAGGAGTCTTGGTTAATCTGGGTCTTGAATAGCAGTGATAGACAATGTATCAGAAGCAGTTGTGCCTCCACAAGTGGTTATGGTTGTGTTCTGGCTCTCAAGGCTTTTCCTGCTTCAGTGGAATAAGGTTTCCAATATAGTGACTAGTGAAATGGGGGCTCTGTAGCATTTGAATTCACTGGGTTTTAGAGCAAGGACCCCAATTTCCCACTGTCAGATGTTTATAGTAGCAAGGACAATGTGTTACTGTGTTCTGAGAGCGTACAAGATCTTTATTCCAGCATGCTAACACCGTGCAAAGATGTAAGCAAAAGTTGTTGAATGTTAAATTCAGCTGCAGTGTTGGTTTTGAATCTCATTTATACCAGGAAGGCAGAGGATATTGTCATAACAAAACAATGTTACTGTAAAGCTATCTTGCTTTCAAATGGTGAAATGACATATATTTCAGGGTTATCTCTGCAAAGACCTTGAGAACCCTCTGGTCAGCTTTGCAGGTCACAGATGTTATTTCAGGTGCAGTTTATATTTTGCAGTAAATGCAAGTCCACGTATGTGAACCTTTGAACTACTTGAATTGCACACCTCATTTCGCTGGAGTCTGGTGCTTGGTATATCTTCAACAGAACCATTAGATAAAGTCTGAGCTCAGCAAAATGTTTAACCATGTGGTTAAAGCTCAGCACACTCGGGTCTCTTGGTACTTGAGGACCTTCAGGCAAAATTATGTCTTCAATTACACGCATGTTACTTCCTCAGTTAAAATGGAATCGCTCAGGTGTAATGAAAGGCAGAATGGGGCAAAAAGAAGGCCATTTTATATAGTCCTTTTGGCTTTTCCTTGGAATTGAGGCTTCTGGTACAAAAAAGTTGGGGTAGAATACAGGTTTGATCCTGTTATCTCTGTTTATTTCTAGTGCTCAGATTGGACAGAATGTTTTTATGGTTTGTAATACAGAGTTGAGTTTCTAATAGTAAATAAGGAGTGGAGAGGGAAATCCAGCCCACTTCTTAATGTTTAAGTTCAGCACATTTTATTGGGAGTCTCTGACAAATGTGGAACACCACAATGCTCATTATTCAGAGACACTACTCGGAGTGCAGCAACATTGAAGGCTCATAAACTTCTTGTTCTGCACTGCTTGGCCAATGGCAATGATTAGTCCTGTGTTCTTTATTACCTCTTTTCACACCTCTCTTTCCTTTCGGTTCTCTTTAGACCAAAAAGAAAAGGCAGACAATGTTCAACAGCTTTCTGGCTGGAATTTCTGAGTATTTTTTGTAAGAGTCTGGGGATTGGGATTTTCTTGTTTAAATAAGTGGCTGGTGCTGTTATGCCTAGGCCAGAAGCTACATAATTTTCACTTCAAACCCTGCTAGAATCAGTACGGTGTTGCTGATGCATTCATCCTGCCAAAAGCAAATACAGGTTTTGGGAACAATATCCTGCCTTTGTCCTTTAGTAAGCATCTGCTTTCTAGTACCTGTAAGGTTATTTGTAGCCTAAAGTCTGTTTACTACCATTCTGCTGCGTGACAACAAGGTGCTTCAGAGCTCAAGGAGCAGCAGTTATAATCTAGTTTCCCTGACCTGAGAAATCATCATTTTCTGTAATTTGGAAAGCAGTTCTTGCTGAAACAAGCTTGCTGCATATGCTGCTCAGGTAGTGGCTGTTTAGTGCTTATATAAGCAGAATGGGTTTGCTCTGCATGTTGAAGCTTTTGTTGGTTTTCTGTTCTCTCTTGAGTATGAAAGCCTCCTGTTGTTTTTAGAGTCGCCCTAAAGTTCTTCTGCTCCTTGATATGTGTAAGGGGAGGCATTTTGATTCTTTTGAAGGTAAAATAATCCAGAAAGGATGGTAGGTTTAAAAACCCCAACAAAGCCAAGGCACTCATCACTTGGCTAATATGTATAGTATTTCTTTCCCTCCAAATGAAGGAAAGGAAACTTGGTTAACATCCAGTTAGGAAAATCCCCTCAGAACAGGATTTATTAAGAGGAAGCCTTATATGTACTTGTAAATGAAGCTTTATTTTCCTGGGCTTAGGAGTAAAAAATCCCAGGTTTGCACAAGTTTGGGGTCAGGCAGGTAGCAGTAAAGGACCCCCCCCCATCATTGCTGCATTCTGCATGCAAAGTACATGTCAGGGTTTTAGCAGTGCTTCCCTTGTGCTCGCAGCCGCAGAGCTGCGCAATGCATTCCCATATGAGAGCCGTCACTTCAGGCTCTATTTCACCTTGTCACATCCCATTTATAAACTGGGGGTTTGACTAGGATGACAGTCACTGAAGAGGGAAGGCCTTAGAAAATAAATAAAGCTTGAGGAAGTCGGAGATCATTAAAGCTGCCACAACCTCGCATGTTCATTAATTATGAATCTGCTATGAAGAGCTTTGCGAGGCTGGTGGCAAGTGTGTTTTCAAAAGTGCTTGACTCAATTCTTGGAAGACCTGAAATAGGGGAACCCAGAAGTGAAATTCAACCTGAGGGTATTTAAAGGCAAGTGTGCAGTCAGCCCAGGATTTAAGCTTCCTTAAGGCCGAAATTCATGCCAAGTGGCCTCTGTTTACAAACTGACCTCCCGCGTGCTCTCTTCTTATAAGACTCTTATTTTTGTGTGGAAGAAGAAGTTCTTTGTGTCTGTGCATCATGTCATCATGGTTGTATTTCCCTAATAAAATCCCAGCCAGCCCCCAGTATGTTTCATGTAGACAACTGTACATAAATGAATGTTTTTGCCATGTGTGGCAAAAGTCAGGAGGAGGAGATTGCTCTACTTATTCAATTCCTTATCACATCTTTCCCAGAGGAATCTGTTGGTTGACGGGTTGACTGCCTGTCACAGCAGATACCTGGGAGAAACAGGGCAGTGCTAACTCTTTAATTTCTCTACTTATTATTTAACTCAGTGAACTAGTCTTGCTTACGTTCCCCCTCTCAAGTCCCATGTACCTTTTAGACTTCAATTTTAATAGTTTGTGAAAGCTCCAGCAAACCTCTGGTGTCTATTGATGGCTTTTGCCATAGCAACATTAGCAGCAAGACCATAGTCTCCGACACACGCAAATTAAAACCCCCTTTACAAAGAAATGAGCAAATAAAGCCAGGAAGAGGGTTGTGAAACCAGACCAAGCTGGTCTTGAACTGAACTCATGTTTTTAGGAACATATGAGCAGTTGTGCTCCTGGAGAACATACAAGCTGTAGTCAAAGCTTTGATGTTCTATGTTTTAGCCTCTCAGTTACGAGTAAGTGAATGTTGATGATGGTAAGGGCTAGTATTGTCATGAAAACAAACCTGAAACGCCTCCATATCATTGTGCTGCTTTTGCTCCTGGAAGAATCACACTCATATCCTCATCTTTTCTCTGCCTTTTCTCTATAGGTTTCTACAGGATCGTTGATTTCAGTCTGAAAGGAACCATCTTCAACTGCTGTTGCTCATGGAAGGAGGACTCCAGGTGTCCCACAGACTGCACACCAGAAAATGTAAGTGAACAGAACAAAACCACACGTGTCAACTGGGTTTCACTCATTCTGATAGGTGTCATACCGCCAAATGCACTGCGTGACAGAGTGCTGCCTTTCTGACCCTTGGTGTAATGCTCATTAGAAGAAATAGCCTTGGAATTACTTTCTTTAAAGAAAAGCAGAAGCTGAAAAGTAACCAGGTAAAAACTGCAGGTAATGTGTGGGACAGTATTTCCATCAACTGAGGTGTTAGTGTTTCTGTGCTGTGTGGCTTGCACTCGTGCTGGCAAGGCAAGGGAAAGCAGGCCAAATGTGCACCCAGCCATAAGTCTTCTGTTCCTCTGACAACCAAATGATTCAAGCATCTGTACAACCAGCTGATGAAGAACAAATAAAATGGAACTTCAAGTGTGCAATTTTTCGGTTTGCTCATAATCAAAAACAGAAAAAAAGACAAATTAAGCAACTTGAATTTTCAATAGGGCATTCATAGAGCCAAGCACTGAAAGAAATCATCACAACTTAGTTCTGCTTCCAGGAGAAATACCTGGCTTCTTCAAACTGCTAGGTGTGGAACTTCTGTGAAAATGAGATAATTGGAGCTGAGGAATCTTTTGTGTGCAGAGTTGCATAAATTTAGTATAGACAAACTATTACCGTGACAATGGTGGTAGCAGTGAGTAATGTTAACCAGCTGACTTTGTAATCAAGCTGTCTATAAGCAGTGGAACAAATCTTTGGTGGGTGACTGCATCAACTAATCGTGAACAGTGGAGGGTGATGAGCTTTAGCAGTTTTAGATGGAGTAGTTTGAGGTGTTATTTGCTCATAGAGTAAGGTGTGATTAAAGTTGGCGAATTAACCTTACAAAAGGCTTCACTGACATTTTACCCATAGCTTATTTTTATTTGACTCAAGAGGAACCACCCAGTTAAGTCATCTGTTTAAACTGAATGTGTCCACCTTAGGGGTTTGCCCAGGTTTAACTAAAACTCTTGAGATAAAAGGGCAGCAAGTTCTGTATAGGGAAAACATTCCTTTTACTGTAGTCTTGGCTGTTCTTAAAATGTAACTTCTCTTGTGCTTCCTAAACTAATTGAAACATGAAGGCAGGACAGGGAGCCAGCTCTGAGGAGCTAAAACATTTCTTTATCCAAACTGTTGAGTCAATTGGTCCTTTCCTTATTCATGCTGGGGCAGCTGGAAGAATCCCTGAAGCTTTTTCCAAATGCCAATCTGTAACATAAGCTAGGGAAGGGTAGACTTTCAATGCTGCAGCTGCTGCCTGACCCTGGCTTGCTTAGTTAGTGACCTCAGCAATATTCACGGTCTCCACAGGCCTAGAGAAGGAAGCCTGTGGTGAGCTGCCATGTGGTCTGGTTTGTCGGCCTCATGTGCAGGTTCCAGGCCACTGAGGTACCTGGAAATCATCACACTGTGCACGTCAAATGGCTCTTAGGTTCCCACTTGCATGTATCAGTGATCTTCCCGTTGTGTGTGCTGACTCTTTGAAACTGCAGGGTTAAGTGTTTCTTTGCTTATAAGAAACAAAGCTGACTTTCATACTGCTTTTTGTAGGTAATTCCCTTCCATGCTTATTGCTACTGTCTCCTTAGAGCTGGTGTTGCTTCGTATTGAAGACAAAAATTAATCTTTGTGTAGTAAAAGCTGTGTGCAACTTGCATAGCACCTTTTAGCCGAGGACTTTGGGAAACATTGAAAGCATTAAACTCCTGTTATAAACACTAGGGAGTCATGAAGTTTTTAATCCTCCTATATGAAAAGGTCAATTAAAGTGAACAGAGCAATTTGTCCAAAGTCAAATCGTGACTGACTGAACTACAGTTCAAGGCCCAAGGGTCTTGATTATTCATTGTGTCTGGTATTTACTGTAGTAGCTATGTCACATAAACTCTCTGGATCTGGTGGTAGAGCTTTGGAGTCCTGACGTTGTCTTATCCCAAATAAACAGCAGAATTAATGAATTCTGGTTTCTGTGTTCTTAAGCTATACCTTGTACCAGCACAGCATTGTCTAAAGCACAGAATTCCTTTAGGACATGGAATGTGCTGTGGATCTAAACAGACTAGTGTTTGCATCTGGGTTTAGACAGCACTTAAAAATACCACTCAGTTATTCAGTTGGAATCTTTAGGGTAGTTCTAAAGAAACAAAAGAGAAGGAAAGGAATAAAAAAACAGATGGTGTGATTGATAATTCTTCATTTAATGATCTCTACAAGGAGGTGGTGCACAGTCTTAACCAGGGACCCTCGTGTAGTAAATGAATCTGGATTTAGTTTCAAGTATTCTCAACAATGTATCTGCATGTTTGTAAGTGTTACAAATCAAATTCAAATGAAAAATATGCCACTTTTTAATAGTCTTGCACATAATTGCATTTTGCCTGCAATAACGTTATCAGAGCATCTTTCAAGTTCCAATTAATGCACACCTAATTTTCCCTTGATACCAGTACCAGGAGGATTTGAACTTACGAACACACAGATTTATCTTGGAGGCCCTAGATGATTTTCAGGTGCCTTTTGTAAAATTTGTGTACTGTTTGTTTACAGTTCCTGGAATGGAACTATGCTGGTGTTATTTACACTGCAGTTCCTTGCAGAATGGAATTGTGACCTATGGAGACGACGCTGATAATGCCAAATAATAAAAGACAGAGCCTGAGAATTAATATAGATTCCCTGGCTTCTATTCATAGGTTGCTGTTATAGCAATAAGTATATAGAATTATTGACATTTCTGTGTAACTGCAGTCTTGTCTTGGAATGGGGCAGTACTAACTTTAAATTTGCTTTTGATTGCAGGATGAAGTTGATAAAATTTTGGGGGTGGTTGTTTTTTTTCAGAAGTATTTTAATATACTATTGCTCAGAATATAAAATTGAAATGTGCATAGCACACAGCAGAAGTTTTGGGGGGGTTTTATGGGTGCCCATGAAATGGAAACAGGTATAAAATTTGTATCTGGTTTAAAATTTTATAAGTGAAGTTACACTGAACATTAAGTAGGTCGTTTTCTAATCCCATAAAGCATAGTGACAGAAGAGGGGAAAAAGGCAAAGGCTTGAACTGCCTGTGCATAACTGGGTAGATCTGTATCAAGTAAGAGGCTTATATCCCTTTCAGAGGTAGGTCAGTTGGGAGAGATGGTGAGAAAACATGGATCACTTTTAAAGCTCTGTCTTTGAGTCTAAGGTCATCCAGAATCACATCAAGTTTCACATTTAGAGCCCAGTTTGTGAATTTCAGACTGAGTCATCTTGCACACTAAGCCTGATGGAGCCACTCCTGAAACTCGGATCAGCCTAACACCATCCCTGTGCTGCTGTAACCAGGCTAATGAGTCAGCTAAAATGGGATTAACTTGCCTAGATGTAGTCTAGCAGGTTATCCCCATTAAAAATAATCCTCATTATTAATACTGCCAATGCATCCTAAGGTTGTTCTGCTGCTGTTTGACTGACCCATCCAGTATCCTTCCATGTGGGGTGTGCTAGGAAGACAAAGGCACATGAACCAATACAAGTCCAAAGGGTCTCTCCTCATCCAGTATAATTGCTTCTCCACACAGGCATGGTTGTATTCCCTCAAATTGGAGTTTGTCATGTCAGTCTCTTTGCATTATAGAAGGGGGAACATCTAACAGTGAGGAGCTGTACGTACACACACGTGTGTGCACAAACAATCCTGCTACCTCATTTTATTCTTGACTGAGTGGGACTCCACAAATTGTATAGTCCTGACTATTCTGCAGAAGAGGGACTTGTAAAATTGAGCAGTATTAAGGGAGAATTGAGTAAAATTGTTAAAAGCAAATTTATGTCATTAAACCCCTTCATTTGCTGCCTTCAGAAAATCTGCAAAAGCCTTGAACAGGATTAAGGAAAGGGCATCAAGATGAACAGAGCACAACCATATCAGCAAAGGGTTTTGCAGATGGCATCTCTCCCTCATGTGAAAAGCTTTTTATACCTTAAAATTATGTTCAGACAGCTTAATATAAGGTAATAGGCAATCTATACTCAGGTGGATAAATACACAGGAAACCAGGATAGCAGTTTTAGCTAAATGCAGAGGAGAATCTTTTGAGGCTGGAAGGATTTTATGCTCTGCTTTAGAAGAGCATCCTTATTCTAACGCTGATAACTGGTGACATTTGGTGTTTCCTCTGCTTTTCATTTGTAACAGAAGCACCCGTCCATTCAGCTTGCAGGGCAAAGCTTAGGAGTCTGAACTCTTAACGGGTATAATTCATAATAAAGAAAACCTCTGTTCTTGCTTTTTAGAGAAATTCAAGTGTTTCAGAGAGGATGGATGCATGGTTCTTTCAGTGTACACAATAGCAACATAACCACTGCTGGAAAGGGATGAGTACCTGTTGAGCAGGGTGAAAACCAGTTTCTTTCTGTACTGAAAAACTTCAACTGTAATGTTTTTCTATTCTGTTAGGAAAGAAACAAATGTTGTTAGCTTCTAAAGAGCGGAACTAAAGCAATACTGGTTGGAGATGTTAAAGAATGTGATGCAAGTCCCTGTCTCAATGTGTGATATACAAGCAGGACATTATGCTGTAAGCTCTCCTGGGCAGAGAATCAGCTTTCATTTATTCTGTAAAGCCCAGGCATACATTTGTGCCAAGATGAGTAGGAGCCCTTTGAAAGCAGGGGACCCTCAAGGTCCTTCTGGTGTAATCGGGCATGCAAAGAGAGGGTTTTGGCAAAAGAAGTTAAACTAAGTTATTTCAATACATGTGAAAAAAAGCAGGGTTTTTGAAGTACCCAGCTAGATATGAAAGAAGGTGCAAATCAGACAAATAAAATCCTCAAAAGAAGTTTTTGTAGAAAAGAAGCTGTGTGGAGCCCTCAGAGCAGCTTCCAGGGTGTGAAGGGGGCCTACAAGGATGCTGGAGAGGGACTCTTTGTCAGGTGCTGTAGTGATAGGACAAGGGGTGATGGGTTCAAACTGAAACAGGGGAAGTTCAGGTTAGATGCAAGTTCTTCACTGTGAGGGTGTTGAGGTGCTGGCACAGGATGCCCAGAGAAGTGATGAATGCTCCATCCCTGGCAGTGTTCAAGGCCAGGCTGGACAGAGCCTTGGGCAGCATGGTCTAGTGTGAGGCATCCCTGCCGATTATGATCTTAAGAACTAGATGATCTTAAGGTCCTTTCCAACCCAGCCCAGTCTGTGATTCCATGATGTTTCAGACCTTTAGCATTCTGTACCCAACTCTCATAACAACATTCACAGCACTAAAGTGAGGCCTGCATGTGTTCCTGTTTGGTCCCCCACAAAGGAATCATTTGTTTCCTTTCCTTCTCTTTTAGTGGCAGTTAATTCCAAGACTCTTAAATACAGTTCACAACCAAAGGTTATTTATGCTGCTTTTCTTAGCTGCATCCAGCAACTGCTAATGAAGGCTTTTTGTAGCATGACTCTGAACTAATTAGGGTTAATTGAGCCTGCTTGTGCTTTAGCTACTCCAACCTTGTCCTGATAATCAGGAGTTCTCAGTGCCTTGAATGTTTTTGTGATTAGCTCACCTAAATTCCTGGTTTCTGCTGGGTTTCTGGTTCTTAGGGCCTTTTGTGATTACTCTGATAGTAAACATGAGTAACCCTTTTCCGTCTCTCTTATTTCTTGTGGATATATAAGTCACTGGTCAGTGCAGCAGGCTTTTTTCAGGCTACTTGGTTGCATGAAGTGGTAAGTTAAGAGTTTCATAGGTCTTCAGTTACATGTTGGACGTTGCTGAGGTGCCAAGCTGCTATAGTTTGAGATTAATTAAAAATCATTTCTGTGTTATATAGCACTGCGTTGTACCACAAGCTGGTGTTGGAACACTACTGCCATGGAAGGCAGAATGTCCGCACCTGAACTGGGGTCACTTGCTTCAGTGTAATGATTTTAGGTTTTGTCCCCACTCCTTTTGAAGCTCCTTCCATCCAGGCCCTTGATCCACTCTGTCCATCCTGAGCTCTGCTGAGGTTGTTGCCGGATTAGACACAACAAAGCAGTCAATCAGGTGACAATTCACCTTCAGTGTTTGCTATGGTTAGTCAGTGAGTGACCTACTGCGTCTGGCAAAGGCGCTTGATTCAGTAAGTTAAGGCTGGCACTGGCACTACCTGGTCTCCAGAAGCAGTGTTGCACTAGTAGCTCTAAGCCGCAGGCCACCACTGCAGTTAAGGTCACACAAACGTTGTACATCTTGAAACACAGCTTTGTATCAGCTCTGTCCTGTGGCAAAGCCCATGGTGTCCTAAGCACAGTAGTGCTTTAATACAGGTGTGGCCATAGGGGAAACAAATGTTTGGGTTCAGCTATTTCTCCTGCTGTCAGGAGTTTGAAAGGGTTTTGGCTGTCCCATTAACACCAGCAGGAGCCTTTCCTCAGTGGTGTTAGTGAGACCTCAACAGTTACAAATACATGACATTTCAAACTTCTTAGCTCAGAGTGAGAACTCATTGCACATACGGTAGTAGACCATTAAACAGCATGCTGTAGATGAATATTCATTCCTGTTGCCTTTGTTATTTACATAAACCTAGTGCAAGGCGAGTCTTTTTCCTCTTGCTTTAGCTTTTTTGACACACATTTCCTTCAGTTAGAGCAATACCTTTTATTTTTCTCAGCCTTTTCTCCCCCCTGTTGGAACCAAAAATATTCTCTTTTCTTTTTGAATATTAGTTCTGGAACTATATAGCTAACTAAAAGGGCTACACAAGT